ATAAGAGTATCGATATGATTAACAATAGGGATCGGTGGGATGACAAAACGCCTCATGCATTATTCATGAACCATCCCATCTCAATGCACTATACGAGAAAGTGCCTGATAAACCCCTCATACACGCAAACAACCCCCTCCTCATACCAACGGTGTCTTAAGAATCGAATACATCTTGGGTTATTGTATACCTTTGCGACGATACGCAAATGACAAGCGGGGTTATTTTTGACGGCAGCGGCGAATCGCCATAACTGAAGCAATTTTGATTAATATCGCGACCACCTTTATCGCCCCCTCACGGTTATCGGGATCGTCTGTCCGTCGAAACGATATTGACATTGACTTTGAGTTTACTTTCTGGAAGAGAGTCACTTTCGCGCCAATCGCGATCGTCTGCTTGTGGGGAGAATACTTTTGGCGTCGTCTTAATTTTGGAAGACTTGTTTTGAAAAAGGAACTCTTTAAGATGTAACAAAACACACACAGGACGACCGTCGCCGATGTGTATTCACGTATAATTAATACACTACGGTGTTGTTTGTTTAAAGCGACCAACAAGCACCGGTTAATTAAACGATCCCTGTTGCTGAATATACTCTAATTGGAATATAATCAAACGACAGTTGCATATACTTTGTATTGGATGATAATTTATGGCTTCGTCGTCTTTAAACCTTTAGCTCAGGATTCGTCAAGGTAAACATTTATAAATATGGAATCAAAACTTGGATATATACCACTGGTGGTTCTAGTCATCTGCTCTTCCTTCATCATAGGTAAGCATATTTCGTATAACCGATGACCTATATTTTAAATCGTTCTTTGCTAATAACATTCATGATAATATTCTATATACATATAGCACATTATGTTACGTTGCGACTTGTTAAAATCTCTTTGCTCGAACATACTTATAGATTGTGATAAGAGAACTAAAGACAGATATTGGTGTTAGCAAGTAAATCATTGACTGCTTAGTTACATCGCTATTATTTTGTTTGTTTTCATTTCGAAAACATTATCAACAAATACAAATTCATGGTAAATCATAAATGTAAATGATGCACATTCCAGGGATACATGTGTTTTCATGATTTCACAGCCCTACCACGGTCTCCTTTCAAATATCATGCGGTACTTAATAAAACTGGTTTACTTTATTGATGTTTTATTCCTATGAATTAACCTGTTTAGACTTAATAATAATTATAACGGTGCTTATAACGCGCTTAACACCGAAATCTCTAAGCGCTATAGTTAAATGAATGAACTACATTACTCGGAATCCAGTCTGCATATAATACGTGTTGCAATGTCAGGCAAGCTTTTAGGTTGCCAAGAATAACCTTTGTTTTTAAATTAGGCATAATATTTGAATATGTTAGTAAACCGATATATTGGAGGAAAAGGCTGAGTATAAGAGAATCATGGACATCGAAATTTAACCAGAATTTAGTTTACAAAATGTAATCTCAGTTGAAATCATCATGCGTAATATGTATAGTTAGTCTTTGAATTATAAGATTGATATATTCATTAACCAACGACGTATATACATCATGGAAGTATTTTCCCCACATACATGTATATGTTTTATTTATAGCGCACAGTATGATAAGTAAAATACAGAGAATTTGTCTAATTAATGTTTTCTAAATTTATGTAGGCGTACTGAATCAGGTTTCTCAGCAAAACAAAAAGAGTATATTTGATCTCAATGGGTAAAGGAATATAAAGATAAGAAATAAGACAACAAATATGATTAAGATCGTTTTTTCTTCATGATCAGATAATGTTTTTCCTTATCGCACCTTTCTATCTACTCCCCTCAGAGAATATGAAGTATATACACAGGGGAGGAAGAAATAGGATAACATCACAAATGCCGATGATTGTTTATTAAGGGTTGGGTTTCGATAAAAGTGAGAAATTCATATTTTTTCAAGCTTTTGTGTGAATTGTAAATTTCTCTTGCAAGTAAGAGACTCTGTGATAATGCTAACAAGCACTCAAAACCGATTTGTAAGTACGTTCCCCCATCGTTTTTATTTTAATTATATCGGATAGTATTTTTGGGCCCTTTGCATCATTTAACTTTTCATGAGTAGAATTTCTTTTTTCCTGATACGAATTATATCAGAAGATTAAAGCAAAAATTATGTTCTCTTTTAATTAAATGACCTGTAGTAAGCAAATTGATTTACATTGTTCGTATACAGACTCAAAAATGCATTTCAAAATATGTTTTACTACATGCACATAAAGAATATGTTTTTTGCTCTATCAAGCGGTTGAATTTGCAGGAAGCTTCTTTCGTTTGGATCGTGCTTATTTATTCATAAAACAGAAGAGCATGGATTTCTCTTTTTCATTAAAATAATGGTCTGTGTAACAAAATCATACATTATGGACAAATGGAAATGGAATAGTTGTCTTCAAAAGGGTGGACGGACGGGGCGGAAGAATTATGGAAATGGGGCTAAGAGATTGAAAGGGTACCCGGATTAGCTAGGGCCGAAGAAGGAAAGGAAATGGCCGAAGAAGGAAAGGAAATGAAAACGATGACTTGAGATTAAAGAGGGAAAGAAAATCACGGTGATCGAAGGGTATTCGTTCTCTTGCTCTGGCAAGCCATTTAAGAAAGGTTGAGCTTTGGTATTAAAGCCCCACTTTACTACTTGTAGCTACTTGCTCCCTCTATAAAGAAAACAATGCCTAATCGGTGACCATTGGTCCCCCACGATCCTCTTTTTCTTATGTTAATTGAGAGCTGAGTTGATGAGATAGCCACCTGTCAGTGACCAACCTGGGTAGTCTCCCTCCTAGCCAAACTAGTACAGACGGCCTTTAAAAGGTGACCAATAATAATTGTAAGACCTTTTTCAATGTTCTTAAGCTGGTAATAGTGTGGAAGAATATCATAGAAAGAGAAAGAGTTCCCTGAATAGGATTGCGCTTCAAATTGCCTCATGATCACTCCCACAAAAAAAAGAAAAATAACAATAACAGAAGGGTGCCACATCTTCGTGTAATGCCATATACCCATTCCGGTGTATACACACTGCAAAAACAGTGGTGTTAAATTCAACACCATAGGTGTTAATATTAACACCATTCCGGTATCTATATCGGAAAACACCAGTTGGTGTTATTTAACACCAAGGTCTGGATTTGAATGATTCAATTCTACTCTTGGTGTTGCAATTCAATTCTATTTTTGGTGTTAATATAAAATCCTACACCATTTTCTGGTGTAACAATGAATCTGATTTCTGGTGTTATTTAACACCACCGCCTGGAATGAAATAATTTTAATTCTACTCTTGGTGTTGCACTTCAATTCTATTGTTGGTGTTATTTTACACCAATTCTAGAATTAAATAGTATAATTCTGCTCTTGGTGTTGCAATCCAATTCTATTTATGGTGTTAATATAAAATCCAGCACCATTCTTCGGTGTTGCAATAAATCCTATTTTTGGTGTTATATAACACTAAAGGTCTACTACTTTTCTACTCTTGGTATTGCAATTCAATGCTAGTCTCAGTGTTTAAAAAACTCAACACACCATTCTTTCAACACCAACAATTCATTCCAGCTCACTCCATCTTAACACATGCACAGAAAATATTCAAATACACACAAGAAGTGAAAAGAAACAATTTTTTTTCGTAAACAAAAACACATGGTGCTTGTTTAATCAATAAATTAAACAACTTGTTTTCATTCATGTTGAAATCAATGATGCTTAGCGTTTTTATCTTGTATGGTTCAACATTAAATCCTTTTGTCATGTATTCAAAATCTGTGACTCATTTGTCTGAATACAACAAAACACACTTTTTTAAATCATTCAAAATCTGTTATTATGAATCCACCCTTATAAGTAAAAAAAAAAGGATGAAACAAGTAACTAAAAATCATTCAAAATCTGTTATTATGAATCCACCCTTATAAGTAAAAAAAAAAAAGGATGAAACAAGTAACTAAAACTTTTCCAATATAAAAACTTTAAACAATGTCATAATTCCTTTCAAGGAATGAAAAATCAAAGTCGTTTCTAATAAATAGAAACTAAACAGGATGCAAAATGCATGTATAAATGAAGACAAAACAAAAAAAACAACAAACATTATGCTTCTACATCAGAGTGAATTATGTAGCTAATAAGAATTTTGACACATTTCACCTTGAATCCTAGTACATGCATGCTGAAGGAAAATATCACAGAATCTTTTTCATATGAAATATACAGAGTGCCCCCCCCCCAAAAAAAAAACCTTGGAAACTGCTAGTATAATCTGCAGGCAGACTCTCGGCTTCGGTTTTTCGCAAGTTTCGTAGTGCATATTTCAGAGTCTGCAGTCAGAGACTACTTTCACTCATATCATGATCCCTTAAAGGGAGCATAACTGTATGTGTATATGTAGTCTCTAAATGCAGACTCTACATCGTGCACTATGCAAATTGCAAAACCGAAGCCAATGGTCTGTGCCCGCAGACTAATTATAGTATGACTTTAATTTCTTATGCTAGAACAATAGCAACACTAACAAATCTCATCCAGCAGTTTTGTTGAACAAGATTTTTTTACCACAGGCCTGCAACCATTGAGATTCAGGATGATTTAATTATTTCAGGGGATTTTTATCTCCTAGCTTCACTGCTTGTAAAGGGTTAAACAAATGTTTCAAAAACATTGAAAAAACACTATAAATTCTACATTCATTCTAATATAGGTGAACATTCTTTTACAGCTTTCTGTTTACAAACATATTCCATTTTACATCGTGCACTATGCAAATTGCAAAACCGAAGCCAATGGTCTGTGCTCGCAGACTAATTATAGTAAGGCTTTTTAATGTCTTATGCTAGGAAGCAGCCTTCAAGAACAATAGCAAAACTAACAAATCTTATCCAGCAGTTTTGTTTAACAAGATTTTTTTTTACCACAGGCCTGCAACCATTGAGATTCAGGATGATTTAATTATTTCAGGGGATTTTTATCTCCTTCACTGCTTGTAAAGGGTTAAACAAATGTTTCAAAAACATTAAAAAAACACTATAAATTCCACATTCATTCTAATATAGGTGAACATTCTTTTACAGCTTTCTGTTTACAAACATGTATTTCCCATTTTACTCCTGGGAGAAAAAATCAAAAAGTAAAATTATGCATTTCTATATCAACTAATTCGCTGCTCGTTTTTCCAACAGGATATAAACAACAACAACAAAAATCAGTCCATGCACTTCTAGTTCACTGGCTTTCATGCACAAACATCATAGAATTGTTTTTCTTGTAAGAAAAAAAAAGAAAATATACAACAGCTATTTGACTTCAATTTGGTTTCGAATTAACCAATTTAAAGATGTTAACAATTAAGAGTCCAAAATATTATTGATCAAAATTATTTTTAAAACCAATTGATACCACTAAGCAAAACCAGACATTAGCTTGAAAGCTTTAAATTACTTAAAAAGTACATGCCTTGGTGCTACATACTTCCTCGAGTCTGTCTTCGACAAAGTTGTCATCAAATCTAGTGGTTTGTAGTCAACAAGTTCCTTTTGATTCTTCACTACATGACAACGTGGAAAACTAAATTCTACTGCATAGGCATGATAGTGTGAATTGTAATACACTGTATCTAATTGGACAAGTACAAAAAATACAGTGCTATTGTGTACAATGATATGCTCTATTTGACCAAACAGAGGAAGCTCGCTAACATCATGGCAGACCAGAAGTGACAACTGATAATGTGTTCCATGTACTTTAACCCAGTTGGCATCAAATAATTCAGTAGAAAGATCCTCTACTTGGATTTGCTCTTGCACAATCTGTCCAATATTTTCATCTAAATCTGACAAAAGTAGTGAACTACCTGGCCCAACCTCCAGATATTCCAAAGGATGGTTTGACTGAAGATGGAACGTTAGTGCTGTCTGATGTTTTTTGGCAAGTGATTTACAAATGTTTTTGTAATTACGCACAGATTCTGCAACACGGCCAAAATAGTGATGTTTCGCTTCGTACCTCATACACCATACATGTATGAGTGGCCCAACTTCTCTCAAACACGTTGGATAATGCACCATAAAGTGGTGTTTTGGCAACAACCTTCTGTCAGGAAAGGTTTTCTGGAAATGTGTGTGATGTTCTTCAGTAAGAATAGACAATTGGGCTATCAAGCCTGCTGTCAATTGAGGAGCAAAAATAATGTCCATACAATCTAGTAATCTAAGTAGCAATTCCCAGTAGACATTTCCTTCTTCAATGTCTTGAGCAATTATGAATGGCAGATTTCGAATCAAGCACCATGCTTGCATAGCCTTCTGTCCAACATCATTCCTAGCTGACCTAAGTTTAATAAAGGATGGTTTGTTCTTGTTATCTGTACGGTTTAAGCAATGGCTGGCGACTCTCTGATTCAGTTCATCTTGGGACAAGAGGGGCGGTTGCCTTTCATATATGAAATACTCTAGAACAAGTTTCAGCTCATACTGAACTATGCCTTCCAAAAGATCATGCATTATATCTAGTGAAAAGTTTGCCAAGACATGAAAGTAAATACAATCATTCAATACAGTCTTTTGTTTCACTCCAAACACATGTGACTGGGTAGTTTGAGCTTCAGCTTCTTCTAAATGTTGCTCATAAGTCTGCCTGGTGCGCATATCCATTGAAACCTCTTTGAATTTGTTCTGTGCCTCTTCCTTACTTGTAACACATAATCGACAGTAATAATGAGCAGAAAAGCTCTCTACAAATCCCAGTAGGGAATTAGCACCAAGATTATCAGCACTTATTTGAGTAATGGTCCCCTTCTTCACAATTCCATTAGGGAGAGCAATGCCAACTGTTGACAGGATATTAATGTCTTTTACAATGTGCTTGAGAATAGCATTAAATCCATATTTCTTGGCATCTTCAGCATACCATAGAGCTATAAGATTGATATTGGAAAGATTGGAATTATACTTTGGTGGCAGATTTTTCAAAATGAAATATAAAGCACCTATCTTGTGAATTTTTGTTTTTGAACCAATGGGGTTCACAGTCTCGAAATCATCATAAAAACAGTGAATTTGGAGGGCATTCTCATCTTCATGGAAAAGAGGGGTTTTCTCAAATTGTGAACCATCACAATAATCTCTCATTACACCATCTGTGCTCTTATGGTCATGAGTAGCAAAATGCAATATATCTTTATTGCTTAAAAGCTGCTTCAAAGAATCTAAAATGGGAACGTAAACAAATGTATCTTCAATAGCAATCTGTTCATACTGCTTAGTTCTTTTATTGAGACGACTATCATATCGGATGCCTAACTTGATTTCTTGTGGTTCAACAAGTCCAATTGATTCACAATACTTTGTCCGCTTATATTCTGAATTCAAATTTTCAAAGGGCTTTTCAAGCATAGCAAAATGTGTTTGAATCTCCTTATAAGCCTCGGATTCTATAGGCAGCTTATGTTTTAAGAAAGCAGCTGTAACGGCTGCCGATGCACTTTTTACTACATCACCTACAATCGCACTGGTTGTTTCTACTACATCATTTACAACTTTTCCAGAGTTTGCACTATTTGCTGAAAATTTTGAAATTACATTTACACACTGCCTGTTCAAGGTATCTACAGATAAAATGTCATCTTCATATACATCCTGATCTTCAACAATCTCATCATTATTAATATTGTATTCTTGAAGACTTTCAAGACTTTCTTCAGGAAAGTCACTCACTTTATCATTTTCATTAGACTGCTCTTTATTATCTGGAAAATCGGTTTTAAGGTGAGTCTGCAAATGTCCCCGAAATCCTCGAAAAGTATGAAATGTTCTCGCACAAGCTCCCTGCCCACAGGTCAATACTTCTTTACCATCTTCAATAACTCCATGTTTCAATCTCAAATGTTGAACCAATTTGGGTATTGCAAACTGTTTGTGGCATTTGAAGCAAATCATGGTGCTAACAATTTCGATCTAATTTCACGTACTCTTGGTGTTTCCCGGGACACTCCGATATCGATTTCAAAAATGGCAGTCTGGACAAAAGTCCAGAACTGCCGCAGAGACAAGCAGTACTGCAGGCCAAAGACAAAGTGGGTCTTGAAGAGTAAATCTACTGCTGCTTCGACCGTGCGTGCCGAACATGGAATGGCCTTGTGATCCACAATGATCATGTAGTTGGTGATTCGGGCCTTGGAATTGCCAATTGCCAGAAGGAACGGTTGACTCTTGGTCTCTTTTGTGTTGTCGAGGAATGCTTGAATACTCCCTCCTGTCTGTGTTGAAAACAAATTATTTGTATAGAATGTAACTAGCACTCAACGCATTTCAATACTCAACGCATTTCAATGAACAACATATTTCGATCAACATTTTTAAAAGACAGCCTTACATGTAGTACTGGGGGAAATTGTGTTTTTACAAAAGGGTTATTGGACAATAATGTAGGACATAAAACCAAATCAAATTTACATCAAAGAAAAGAATTGGAATTGGTCCATCAAATGATATAACATCAAAATATCAGATGATATTTTTTGTAATGAAATACAATTTTTCTTACCCTGTAGAGGGGTAAAAATGCAAGTACTTTCAAAGCTTGTTTTATGTATATGATTAAAAAGGGTCTTTCTAATGTGGTCAAGACATTTCAACTTCCACAAAAGGAGTACGAAAAATAAAGATACTGCAATTTCTGCACTATTATTAACTTGCAGCAAATTTGTGGCATGAAATATTCCTTTTCATTTATTGATTCTCCATGTAGGGCTGTGAAAATCAAAGGCAACATGCCTGATATATCACACAAGTTGTTACTATGTTTTCATACACAACATGTTCCTAGTATTTGTTTGCAAATCTTGATGTCTACTGTTCTAGTTTATTTTACTCCGACCAATTTCAAGGCGGGTGAAGTTTTTGAATAGGCCTAAATTTCTCGAGCACCTTCTCTGTCCAAATCAGTCTAAGCCTCTTCATGTAAGAGATCATAAACCAATATAATTGTTCTCTTTGAACACACATCACGATGCTTTCTGAAACTTTTTTTTTAATGCAGCAAGAATGTGTTTTATGTGACAGGGTATTACCGGTACTTAATATTTACAGTTCTCTTTCGTAATGAAAAGCTAAATACCTTCTGAAATTGAATAACCCTCGAGAGAGCTGAAGAAATGGACACTTTTGCTGACGCAGCTTTGGACTTCCCTTGGCTTGCAGGAGGCAATAGGCACAAGAGGAGGAGGATAGCAGATGTGCTGGAATTCCATCCTGTGCATTACAAAATGAAAATGGTTATTATTAAACAGGCTTACATGTTGATCAAGGTGAAAAATAGAAGTTAAATGTACCAAAATAATTACAAACTGACCTGCTAAAATTTGAATCAAAATAGCCTGTAACAAGAAACTATTATAAGAAATAAGTATATAGTCGAGGACTTATCAATATTATAGCCAAAGCATGCAAGTGGCTGTTAATGCAGTTTAGGGGTACTAAACCAAAAATCCAATTGATGCCAGCTTGGCACCCTTGGAGAAATTTTACTGACACTTATAGCAACGCCTTCTTCTTCTTTCTTATGAGAATTTATACAAAGGGGGATGGGAAAAAAGAAATCAATAGGAAAATAATAAACGGGATATTTATGCATGGGAGAAGGCAACATTCATGGCAAAGCACCTAACCTAGATTGTTCTCTGTTGACACATATATAACAAACTCTTTAGTAGCATAAGTTCATGTTTTTTTTTTTACAATTTTTTTCTTGTTCTACTGAATTTAACATGCTTCTACCCAATTTGACATCCTTTTCATGATTAAATCACAAAAATTGCATCAATACTGGAATCAAATGTTGCAATTAACAATTTATCAAATATGTCCCCTATGGGCCACCATATTTTTCAAAGTTAACTAATGAAGAAAAACAAAAATATCATGATTTTCTGAATTCTAAAGCATTTATCTTCAAATAAAGACAGAGTAAACACAAGCAAGCTGCTAATATGTAAATGCAGGGTCCTGTGGGGTCGATTCAAGTTCATATTATAAGATAATAAGCCATGCATATCATATCTGAGGAAGAAAAATAACAAAGTGAACATATAAACATGATGCTTTGTTTCAAAACAGAAGCTCATTCTATTTCAAAAGTAATGATTGGCAATGTGATAATCCTTATAAAGATTCCACAATGGGCCATGCAACAAACTTTTTTCTTCATAATTATATAAATTTCTTCTTCATAATTATATAATTAATATAATAAAAGAATTATGGAGAGCATGTTCCAACTACAAATAACCCGGCATGTGCCCCCTCTATATTTTGAGAATTACCTCGTGAACATACACATTACTAAGGTTAAATTGTGATCTGCGCCCCCTCTTTATTTTTAATATGCTCTTTGCACCCCTCTAACTCTATTTTAAAATCCTGAATCCGCTACTGATGATATCACATTTAGCAGGGATTTGCAATTTTGTATTATAATGCACTTTATCCAAAACTTACCAGACCATTCTTCATCTTCTTTTAGCACCATGAGGCTGACTGTGGGATTGCTGGTCACCACATCTCCTAGTACGTCATCGTCTATACCAAACCCTTCTTGTTCATCCACAAGTACGAGATCTTCCCCATCCCTTATGTGGAATTTTCTTCTGACTGTAGGAGAGATTAAATAAATGAGAATAAATATCACAGTGCACTTTTCAGTTTCTTACAGATTGATGGCTCAGTCATAATAAACGAATGCTGCAAAAACTGCTGCTACAAGCCCAACTGTGCTATAGTATACAAATAACGCACGTCCCAGAGTGCAATAGCGGTGAATGCAGTACGCGCGAGGTTTCTTTATATTGGTGCCGCTCTGTGCAACAAGCCGCTTGCGGCGAGTTGACAGTGCGAACCATCTGAAGAAACCGAGCGAACACTGCATTTACGTTTCGCACAACAGGGTCAAGTGCGTTATTTGTTTTATAAAATAGCGACACAAACAGCAACAAACAAAAGTTTAGATCTTAAGTATACGAGAGTTCGATCTAGATCTAGAGTTATGTTGGTTCTAGAAATAAAATGAGGGTCTAAGACCTTGCAGGCTTACCAAAAAGTCTACAGGATTCATTGTTTGATTAAAAATAAAATGCATAGGGTGTCTAGAGACGAGTCTACATCAGACAGCTGAAATTCCTGGCTTCATTATAAAATCCAAAAGTCAAAACGGGTCTAAATCCAAGGCAAAAGTAAAACAAAAATTTGCTTTCTAATAATACCCCGCTCTAGCTAGAGCTAACGCGTACGCTGCGCTGGGGATCATGGTGGATCTTGGAGCGTATGGTGGTGTGACCAAAGTTCGCGCGTGACCTAAGTTCGCTATCTCAAAAAATCAGTAAGATTACGAAAATCTGATATCACCAATGGAAAGAGGAACATAAAATTACCCAGAAGTGAAATTTTCTTTGGAATTGGGTACGAAATTGTGAAAATATTGACAAAAGATCGGCAAATTTTGCAATATTTTGCGTCCGTTCCGAAAAATGATCAACTTACCGATAAGGGTCTGAAAATCTTCAATTTGAGAGCAGATTTCCTCAAAATTGTAAGTAAAGAGTGGTACTAACTGATTGTATGATATCTTGCCTTGCAAGTTATGATATTACCTTATTTTTGATGGATCACACTTTTTGATAAATCAACTGTAAACCCCCGTGCGTGAAGTTAGGTCTCGTTGTTTTATGACTTTTTTAGATGCAGCGCGCACGAACGATCGGACATCGAATTTTTAGATCGCGATATCTCCGAAATCCTTCGACGATAAAATTTTCTAGTTGAACTAATCTGTAGTTAAAAACTTCGCCGTCCCTTTGTTATAATTGAAATCAATAAATTTGTGTAGAATATGAGAAATCGTAGTTCGAATATCACATTTTGTAATATGTTCTAAAATGTCCGCGAACTTTGGTCACCCCTTCATACAATATTAGCTACGCGTAGCCTATAGTAGGGTGTCTGATCGCGCACCCGATGTTGTGTGCTAAAATCTTTCCCATAGAGATTGCACACATCCCTATGTGGTCTACATGCATTGCGCGACCAAGCAAAATTGGTCAATGGTTTTATGAAAAATTAGAAATTCAAACCTTTATAACAAATGATCCTGAAGGTGAAACTCAATAAATGTGGTGTCATATGAAAGAGCAGGTTTTTCTCCATATTCCCCATAGGGGGCCACCCCCGGAATTCTAAAAATATCTTGCTCAAAACAGCGATTTAAACATCGTTTCCATGGTAACTCGGAGATTTACCAATTTCACGAACTGCTCCCCCGAGGGATAAGTTGGGCCAGCTGTAAAGAATATATCCATGCACTTATTTTTTCTCTAGTCCCAAGGGATCATTTGTTACAACAGTTTGAAAATACCCTTGCTCCACACTTTGCATATCGTGCTGTGCATTAGCTGTGCAGCTTTTGAGCAGAAATTATAACTCTGCGTGAACCACTTTTCTGTCCATTCTGACCAAAATGCTATGAATATTGCACAATTTTTGAGGGGCTGTAGATCTATCTTTTGATAGAAACATCGGTGAGTCTTGAAATTTGAAAGGTATTATTCTGATTACATTTTTTATTCCAATATCAAACAAAAATGGTGAAAAACGATCCCAAATTGAAAATTGAAAAATCGTTCAGACACCCTACCTATAGCCTACAATGCACTCGAGGGAGCGTACTAGTACTACGCGTACGCGCGCGCACTGGATCCCCATGGTCACGCGTACGCACCGTGCAATATAACTTTTTACTGCGCTTTTTCTGCACTCATTTCTGCAAAATCGTGCTTGCATCAAAAATTTGTCAATGCCATGTGACGCGTATTGACCAATCACGATGCTTAAAATACTAGGCTAGATCTAGAGCCATTTTATAATACACCCTAAAACTGTTAAATGGGACATCAAGCTCAACCGGGGGTGGAGTTTGGACTGTTGTGTGCGCTACAAATAGTCTAGATCTAGATCTAGATCTAGAGATTGAATTTCCATGTTTATTATTTTTGCATTTTTTTATTACATGAATGGGGTAGATCTAGTCTAGATCTAACGTTAGATCTAGATCTATATCTAGGCCTAATGTCAATGCAGATCTAACGTTAGAACTCTAGATCTAACTGTTAGGCCTAGAAATCTAGAGTCTAGATCTAGTCTAGACTTCTAGATCTAGATCTAGATCTAGATCTAGCCTAGACCTGATATTTTTGCAAAAACCCAGGATTAGGCCCTAGACTAGGTCTAGACATCTAGATCTACTGATTTTTCCTTTACATTTTGAAACAAATCTAGATCTATGTATTAAATAACAATATATAGACCTAGATCTATCATGAATGTTTGCCCTTTGGAGTATTTATCAATGATAATTTTTCAGAAATCCATAAAATATTAAATGGCATCATGCTGACCGGATACCCAACCCGGCCGGACAGCCAAGGCATAGTAGGCCTAGACCTCTAGGCCTGGGCTACCCAACGACAGGCGCGGCTAGCGCCAGCTGACGAACACGTAATACTATAGGGCCTAGGCTAGATCTATAAAAGTTTATAACAAACAAGAACCATGTACACTTACTGAGTTCAAAGAATCCTACTGTGTCTTCTGGATCTATAGGCAGGTATTTTCTAATACTTCGATCCGCTGAACAGACCCTGACGCTTAATGGCATGGTTGCATGCACTTCGATCACTTCACATCTAGAATCTAGGCCTAATTTGAAGAATTACTACTCCAGAATCAAGACTTCAAGTCAGTGCCAGTGAAATTCTCTAGCCACATGCTCTCGTCTAGCTGTGCGCGCGCAGCTGCAGAGGCGCATATCGGATCATATGACAACTTTCGTCCAATGATTTTCGTCGAATTCTCTAGCTTATGCGCATGTGCGATTTTATAACACCAAATATGACACCATCAGCCTGTAATTGAATATTTTCACACCGTTGGTGTTATTTTTCGCCAATCGGACATGAAATGAACACCAAGGGTGTTGATATTTTTCTATTCCATGCTGGTGTTGAATATTTAACACCCTAGTTTTTGCAGTGCAGTGCGTATAACTTTGAGCAAGACAGGGTAAATTTCTTGTCATTTTGATGACTTCAAAACCTCACAGTATATACACCCATTTGTTTATGATATACATGATAAATATTTGTCCAAATTGCGCTTCCAGAGACTTTCTTTCGCAGCCTGTAATTGACCAGAACTCCACTCTGTCTTTAAATATAGAAATGAAAATGAAATCGAAGGGATATTCTCTTGATAGCAATGCAGAAGTGTTGAGAAGACTATTAGTGTTGTCCCAGCTGCAATAAGTGGGTCATAATTCGAAAACAAAATACATCATTATTATATCCATTTCCTGTCCTCGGGTTGATACATTTTAAACGGTCTCGATTAAATGGATCCCTTGGGCCAATGCAATTAATCGTACGTTAAAGATAAAGTTTGGTTCTGGTCAGACGATGACATTTTGAAAGAAGCTATGAACATCAAGAAGCTATACCTCGAGAGGCTGATTGTGTGGCACATGACTACATGTAGGAATGATGGTGTAGTGGAATCATCAAAAATGGTGACAAATTGGCTTCAACTAGCTAGCATGTTGTCAAAACAACTCCCTCAGATATACTATCATATTTATGGAGGGGTTTAGTTACCACGACAAATCCGCATGCGTGGAGTATCGTGGTACATGATAGTGGTTCATTCCAGCATTGACCCTCGCTCTACGTTGATGATTCGAATCCCAACACGGAATTTACGTCATTTTGCAAGACAACAATCCACATTTAACGCTCTCCACCCTGGTGTATAATAGTCGGAAAGCCCACAGGAAGAGCATTATTGATGACTTGATGTTGCTACCCTCAGTAAAATAATAAGACCCAACTATTGTAATTATTTATTGTGTGGGGCTACACACAATGTCATGTGACATCAAACTTGGTCCAAAGTTTGAAATTAATTTAAGACTTGATACTTGATGAGGTAATCCCTGAAGCAGCTTTTCCAAGCTATACTGGGATGGATATGGATTATGTGAACATTTCAAGAAAACAGCTCCCTTTTTATGTGCCATTTTTGTCACGATATTCTTCCACATCGAAGTGAAAAGAGCGAAACGGTTCAACAATTATTTCCACCGTTTAAT